GTATTTTACACCGAACCTTCACCTAGCAGCAATAACTCCTGTACAAAACTTTTCGAGCTGAGGTTGCTGTCCTTACTCAACACAAGCAGATATGTGTGTAAATACTTAATAAGAACACAAGCTGTTATCTGCAAACTACTTGAGCAACAAAGCTTTCCTGGTAATCATATGACCATGAATCAAGTCTTTTCTAGGTTTGTGGCTTCCACCACTACTTCTCCTTTGTTAATTATTCCTTCAGCTGCCTAAAATATGTCTGCAAGTGTTTCAGTTTTTGCTAATGTCTCAGTAAACCAAGTTGTGCTGTACTGTGTTTTAGGTAACCTAGATTCTAGGGTAACCTAGAATATGCCAGTTATGGAGAAAAATGCTATTATAGTTGATATTGATTGTGTTTTTCCCCCCAATATGTGCTACACTGACAGAAAAGGAACTGTTGTGCTTCTACGTGAAAGAAAGTAGATTTAAAAATCTAGCATAAAATCAAATTTTAATCTTGACTAGAATAGTTTCAGTGAAATGAATACGCCTTGCTCATTCACACCAGTGTAAGTCTCGTTGATTTAATTTGGACTTCTGTAATTAAAGCTAAAATTAGGTGTAGGTCGAATGTACCAAATTTAAATTAGAGATTTTCTTTTTTCAAAAGAGGTATTATTCACAATTCTTATTCACAGAATCCTTTTTTTAAAGGAGAAAAGCTAATGTGGTGCTTCTTATTTACCAGTTACATACTTATCATCTGCCATAGTTACATTTTAACTAAATGTTGCTTAGTGCTAATATAAATGATGTATTACTACTATTGGATAGTTGATGCAGCCCCCAAAGAGATGTATTCTAACCTATCTGAAAGGAGACATTAAACAGAATTCTATGTTTATTATTATTATTAATTTAAGAGCAGTTCTTGCATGCTTCAAAGGTGAAATATTTTAATTGCTATTAATACAAAGTACAGTAGCTGTAATCACAGGCTTGCCTGCCTGTAAGCCCCACTGACATCCTACGACAAAGTACAGTAGCTGTAATCACAGGCTTACCTGCCTGTAAGCCCCACTGACATCCTATATGAACCTAGTGAGAGTGAAATATGCATTGTATTGTACTGTAAACCATACAGCACCTTTTAGGATCTGTATTCTAGTATCTTTAAACAATGCTGGAATATCTATAGTCTGTCTTCAACATGTGTAAAACTAAACTAATACGTATCTTTAGTTTACTTTCAGTATCAATGTATCAGTTATCTTGAGGGTAGCTTGAGGGGTTGCCTGAAAATTTCTTGTTGAATAATGGAAAAAGCATTTTTCTTTTATTTTGTTTTTAAATTCAGGACATAACATTTAGTGTGGGGAAGATTGTGGTCTGATTTGTTTGAGTGTCATGTTGAAATGGTTTTTGACCCAGTATAAATTGCCTGTGTTTCTAACCTTCTTTACATTTGAATGGACTACACTGCAGTTTTCTTTATTACAGTATTTGGTTTTCAAGGCTAGAGATCCAGAGAATTTTGTTGAGTCTGCATATTTGAGCAAATCAACCTAGTTCACAGTTTCTAAAATAGAAACTCCATTCAGAACACAATTATCCTTCAGACTGTGTACTTCTCCAAACTTGTCCTACAACACTGCTCTCAAAAATGCATTAAAGTGTGTTCATTAGAGAAAATGAAATACAGAAAATGGACATCTTGGAAAGTAAAACTAAATGCATGTTTTTCTGTATTCAAAACAAGTTGCAGATTACTGCAAACATTAGAGGGATTTATGATTGAATGCATACAAAGGTAACATAAGGCAATATAGACTAATTGGTTCTACAGTATGAAGTTACAGTGCTAAGTATTGGTATAAGGCAGTGGTTCCCAACCTTGAGTAACTCAGAGATTCTTGGACTGCAACTTCCAGAAGCCTTCACTGCTAGCTGTGCTGGTTGAGGGTTTCTGGGAGTTGCAGTCCAAGAACACCTGGGTTATCTAAGTTTGGGAACTATTGGTGTAAGGGAATTTCTTCATGGGGAGTAGATCTAGTATGTTACAGTGGCAAGACTTGAATCTAACTACTGTATAAAAAAATCTTGGGATTGGGTTTTCACTAGCCTTGGTATACAGTATATGAAATCATTTGATCAGGAAACAAACAGGGATTATATAGACACCCAGTAAGAAGAACATCCTCCTCTATTTCCTCTTTTTTAGGAAGGATGGGCTGTGATTTAACTCTTTAGGACCTGGGCTAGCTATCAACTGCATGCAGTAATATGTCATTTAAAGTATGTTATCAGGAAAGTGACTATTTGAAAAAGTGCTTTGGATAGGTGTTTCCCGCATAGATCTGATTGTGATGATGGGACCCTCTTGAAGTTGAAGATGGCTTCAGAAGCATTTTGCAATATTGCACTGGGGCATGATTTCAAAGGAGAAAAGTTAATGGATATTCCCAAAGTAGTTCTTTGTATCCTGATTTGTTTCCTAGGACTAATGTTTCTGAGTACTGTTAATACTTCTACAGGAGATGCCACCATTTTTACTAATTTATCTCTTGCTCAATTTTAATATCAGTGTTGATAGTGGTGGTGAGAAAGACTGTAGTTCTATCTCTAGGTTTATTTGTTAAACCATAATATAAATAATATTTATTATATGTAATATTTATTTAAAATAATAATATAAAAAGAGTAGAATTGGTATTGTTTTCTTCATTGTGCCATTTCATATTTTTAAACATATATTGGCTAGATTATGGCAAATCCAAAATAGTTGTATTCAATAAGGCTTGGAAACCTCAACCTTGGATATTTTACGGGAAAGCTATCCAACAGGTGAAAGAATTCAAATATTTAGGAGTAAACTTCCACTATCGCAACTCATGGGCCAGACATCACCACATTATTACTAAAGTGGTAAGGCTGTCTATGTAAGCAATACTTTTTTATGCATGGGGCAACACAAACATCCCTGCTGTCTGAGGGTCTTCAAAGCTAAGCTGTCTCCCAACTCTTGTATGGGATTTCAGTCTGGCTCGACACCTTCAACTCTTTGGTGGAAAGACTCCAGGCCTCTTTCCTCTACAAAATCTTTGCTGTTCCCCACTGTTTGCCATATGCAGCTTTGTGCTTGGAGGCTGGATTAACTAGGCTGAACACACAAGCATGTTTGAGACAATTTAAGTACTGCCTGAGAATTTGTTTCTTGCTAGACAAAGACTCCTTAATTAGGGGCATCCTGTCTGACCCATTCTCCCTGCCTAAAACTGTTCATTCAAAAAGGTTCAAATTCTGGGCATTTCACTAGACCACTTGGGTGCTCTATCATTTATGCAGTCGTATAGACTGCTAAAAGTTAGGCTTTTGGACACTGAAGGGCAAGACCTTTTTGGGGCAGCCCGTAAAGTTTGTTCACCTTTAAACTTACAACTCCCTCTACACATTTACAAATTGGCCAGTTACCTGCATATTATAGAGAGTCCACATGATTGGCGTGCCTTCACTCTCATAAGATGCTATGTACAGTACTTCCATCTAATATTCTATATGGTAGATTTAACTCCCAACCAATGGAAACACGGCTCTGCCCTTGTAATTCTAGGGCCCTTGAATCCCTGGCACATATGCTTCTTTATTGTAGAGTATACAATGATATCCGTGCATCTAATTTGGAGCGAATTCTTGCTAGTTTACCTGGTTGATCAAAGGAGATACAGTAATTCTGTACACTCTCCTGCTAGGAGAAAAAATCTATACCAAGCAGATGGCCAAATATATCAATCTATTAATACAGTGATGCAGGTCACAATTTCCAACAAACTTCTTGTTCTGCCCTCATGGGATGTAATCAACAACTTCCCAGGTTTGCCAAAGCCTCGCTGCTAATGTCTAGCTGTTCATTCAAATGAATTGTGTTTGTTTTGCTATGTTTCATCAGTATTTATGACTCTTGTCCTTTTTGTTTCCTTTCTAACTGGGCATACACTTCTCATCTGGGCAAGGACTGTTGCCTGTTGTGTTACATGTTTCTTTTCAGATGTCAATAAATGTGCAATATATATATATATTGGCTAAAATTCTGTTGCCTAGCATAGTAGGCCCATTAAATCACTGGGGATTTCATGAGTCAGCTCTTCTGTAAGTCCCATTGATTCAAAGTACATGTAATTAACTTTAGCACAATAGGTTGCAACTGGAGTAGGCCCATTTACTCACCAGATCACTGATTGAGTGGGCCTACTCTAGTGTGACTTACCATGCTTAGCAACAGGATTGCAGCCACTTTTGCTAATTAAATATAAGTCAGAAGTTAGGCATTTAATGTTAGGCTGATGAAATGTTGTGTGGAGTAGTATCTGGAAAGTATATGTAGTTCCAGAAAACAATAATCTTTGCAGGTATAATGGAATTTCTATAGCCATAAAGATGGAGTTCTAGTTGTTTTTATAGAAGGTTTTGTTATTGCTGTGGGTTTTTGAAAGGTTCCCTCCCTCGCTGCTTTACTGGTTCTATTAATAATTTGGTGTGTTGCAAAAAGTGTACCAAAACAGGATGGGTCATAAGTGCTCCTGTACAATTAATTAGGCTTCTGATTTATGGATAATCTCATAATTTCCAAGAGATTTGGCAAGCAATTTAAAGACTATATCCTTATTTCCCATCCCTCCCTGGTTAATACATATCCCAAGTCTGCAAATAAAGAATTAAATCCCCCCCCCCTTTGGTTAAATAGGGAGAAACTTGCATTTATCCATTATCATCCTTGCTTTCCTTCCCCACCCCCTTCAATATGCAACTTTTATATACTGTACATAATAATGTGATTATTAAATAACAAGAGTTTCTGAAATAGTAGCTTATGAAAATAGGAACCTACTGATGTTATGATCTATGAAAATGGATGGATATAGCTTATATATTCTTAATTAAGTTTAGAGCAAAACTTGCTTCACAAGTGTCTTTAATATAGTGTGAACTTTTTAAAAATACCTCCTCTCCATACTCTTTTACAGGAGACATGGGATGTGGTATCGGTTGCGGAAAGTAGTAATCTGGTTGTTGGGAGTATACATAGCCATTCCATTTCTAGTTAAACTTTGTCCTGCTATTCAGGCAAAGCTCGTCTTCCTAAATTTTGGTAAGAATCATGCTTCTCTTTTCTTTGCTTTGAAACTGTGTTGGTATTTTACTACAATGGTTCTAACTTTCTGATACAAATTGTAAAGGTAAAGGTAAAGGTTCCCCTTGACATTTAGTCCAGTTGTGTCCAACTCTAGGGCACGGTGCTCATCCCTGTCTCCAAGCCGTAGAGCCAGCGTTTGTCCATAGACAGTTTCCGTGGTCACGTGGCCAGTGAGACAGAACGCTGTTACCTTCCCACCATGGTGGTACCTATTTATCTACTTGCATTTTTACATGTTTTCGAACTGCTAGGTTGGCAGGAGCTGGGATAAGCCCCGGGAGCTCACTCCGTCGCATGGATTCAGTCTTACTACTGCTGGTCTTCTGACCTTGCAGCACAGAGGCTTCTGCGATTTAACCCGCAGCGCCACCACATCCCTGACAAACTGTACTTACCTTCAAAGCCCTTCTTTAAATTTTAGCCTTTGAAGCTCTTCCACTTTGTGTGTTCAAATAAGATGTTTAGCTTCTTAGGAGGCTACTGTAAGAACATGATGTAGAAGCCTACTGTCATTAAAGGACTGGGGTCACAGGGATTTTAAGTCATTTTGCAAAGTTCGCATAACTTGTTCTTCCTTGTCCCTCCCTACTTAAAAATCCAGAATGTCATTGTTGTATACACATTTAAAAGCATGCAAGAGCTAGCTTTGTTACCATCGGCTTGTATTTCATTGCTGCTTTGTAAAATGCAGCTAGAAGAAAGGCTTGATGATGCCTGGGATTTTTGTTGTTGTTGGCTTCGGCAGAGAATATTCTAGTGCTGTCCAGTGAAAAAAGCAATTGTTCCTTGTCTACCCTCTGCAGTAGCATCTTCTGTGCTACAACTTGGTGTGACCATCATCTAACTGATGTGCTTTCTTTCTTTGTGGAAAGTTCACTATTAGCTTGTGCAAATGCTGTGTCTGAAAACAATATCAGTTAGGGGCACTGTATTCTGAATCTTTTGACTTTCAGATTCAGGTGTAGGATTTTTAAAAAAACATTATTTAAAAATCTGTTTTGCCTTGAGTCTGGGACCTAGATCAGACAATCAGTTATGATCTACTTTGCTATGAACATTTATGTTTTAATAAGCCATTTTGAAGGTAGTTACAATGTGTACAGTACAAATTACAAATAAAAAACTTGATTTCTCATTTATTCTCACTAGTTGCATGTTTAATATATAGAGAGTTTCTCCTGCCTTCTAAACCTTTTAAAATATCCAGTGACCAAGTCATTTTTACATGATAGGGTTTAACCCGTTTTGCATATTTATGTTTGATAATATTTGTCAAAGCTGTTAAATGATCTCAAGCAGTAAGTAGATATACTGTAACACTAATGTTTTGTCTTTCAGTGAGAGTGCCCTACTTCATTGACCTGAAAAGGCCCCAGGATCAAGGTTTAAACCACACCTGTAATTACTACCTGCAGCCAGAAGAAGATGTAACTATTGGAGTCTGGTAAGAGATACTTTATTGTTCTGTTATTTATTGCAGTCCTTTCCTTATAGGTACAGAACCTATATGTTTAATCTCACTGAGATTGTATTTTGGTTTTTTGTATGTGGGGTGTGCATGTTAATGTGCACTCATTTCTTGGAACTCAGTGATCTTTTGAAATATATTTTATGATGTGGGTAAAGACTGAAATAGATTAAGGCATGCACAGAATGTAGCTACAATACAACAGATTGCAAGGAAGAGAGGCTGGTGATCCAAAGCTGTCACTATTTTTCTGCAACGTTTGAAGGTCACACCTTCAAGAACTAAAAATTGTATTTGTTTCTTATTTAAACAACATGGGATTTTTCCTGCAAACCATTCTAGTCTCTAAAAGCACAGAATGGGAACAGTACAGGCCTACATAAACAAGCAACATTTAATAGAAGTTACTGCTCAGTTGCAACTAAGTTGTGAAAGTGGCTCCTTTTGCGCTAATCTTTAGTTTGGAAAGTAGCTCTTTAAGGATGCTTTTCTCCCACTTCTTATTCCATGGAGTGCTCTGCATGGAAAAAATTTAGTGTGGGTTGCCCAACAAGATAGCTTCTGAAGCTAGCCCTATGGCAGTGGAAACTAGTGGGATAGAGAGTTTGACATCTTTCTCTAGATGTCAAGAACAGACTGTGAACAAGTGCAGAGTGCTGCTGTTCATGGCTCCAGTCATCATCTTAGAATTGCAGAACTTAAAGGGGCCCTATGAATCACTGAGTCCAGCTCCTGTGGGGGACTGAACTCTCAACCTCTCTTCCATGATACTTAATTCTGTATGCCAGTCCTGATTTTCATTTCTTTTTCTTCAACCAGTGACTATTCTGGTCCCACCGAACATGTTTAGTCAAGATTGGGCTTTTGGGTCCACTTACTAAGTTTTTTTCCTTGAAAGCTTCAGGCAGAATTCTCTTCATTAAAAAATTCACAGTATGGAAGAAGATAGCCAGTACTTCCTTGGTTAACAGTGAATATGCTGCAGGATGCCAGTGACTTCAGAAGGTCAAGTGGAGATTAAGCAAAAATCAAGCAGAACATCCCCCAGCAAAGCACTGTGCTCCACTAATGGCCGACAGGATTCTGCCCTTTGCATACTTAAAGACCCTACATATGCAAATATCTCTCTCCTGCATGGGATTAATATCTTTTTGACTCCACAAGGACCCACAATCAGGGAGTGAGTTGTCTGTTAGCAAGGGAGAGTAACACATTTAGCCTTAACATATTCTGTATGGTATAGTGGTTTAAAACTATTTAAACCTTCTGGTTTTATTTCCAAAGAGAAGTCAGTGATTGTAACAAGTGCATGGGTGGAATGTCCTACTCTGCTGATGCTTGAGCTTTATAAAAAGGGTATAGCACTTTTCCTGTATGGGAAATCTGGAAAGCAGGAGTTGTCATGTCACTTTATCTGACTTTTAATGGTTTTGAACAACATGCTTGCCAAGAAGGGATGTTGATACATAATTTATCTTGCTTTGGGCAAATTTGAGTATCGTACAAAATTGTGGGGGCAGGCATAGTTCAGCAAATTCATTTTGAGCTAGGATCTCTGAGTAAATGGCAGCAGATGCTTGAAATCACTTTGTTTGTATTACTAGACAACTGAAAAACATTTGAGCAAAATGAAGGCATTAAATTCATTTCTCAACTGGCCTTCAACTGTCTCTTCCTAATCCATGGAGAAAAGTTTTGTCCTCATGGCATATGATGATCATGTTTTGAAGTGCGTGAGTAGTATGAGTGGGCGTATTTATGTTTTGATGAATCAGCCTTCAAAGTTAATGACAGCAAGCAATTTTAAATACTATCTGCTAGAATTTCTTTCCCTTTGTTTTATTTGTCCATTTCCATTCTGTGTGAATTGCTGTGAAAGCAACCCACAAAGCGAGATTATTGTTGTTTTCCAATACGGACAGTGTGCGACCTAGCATTAATCCATGAACTGCCCAGAGAGTGTGCACAGTACAAGTTGAAATAATAAATAAATATACTGAATCTGATCTTTTAAATCTAGTAATTGCTTTGCAGTGGCCAGTGAAGTGAAGTAGTATTCCACTGGTACCAGAAGAGGGGTTTTCTTTAAGGTAGTAGCATAGAAGAAAGAGCCAAATGTCTTCTTCATATCCACTCTAATTCCATTAGTTACCAGCACTCCCTCTCTCGCATCCAATTTGCAGTTTTCAAGCAAAGCAGCAAGATGTAAAGAAGCATGCTGTTCCTTGTAGCACTTTGAAAAATGAACCTAGGATCTTAACAGTGATTCTAAGAAGGAGAACAGAGACTGAGTCTATAATATAATACAACTGTACTTTGTGATATAACTTTCTTCCCTACTCTGCTGCCAGAAAATCAGGTCTGGAAGACTTCCAAAGCTGGTTTTGAAGTATATGAAGTAGGGGGGTGATCCCCAGTTTTTCTGGAGTCTGCTTTTTATCTCTAGAATATTTCACTGTTATCTCAAAAATATTTTTCCTTCCAAATTCCTGTTTGTACAGTAAGCATCCTGTCTTCTTCATGCTACTGTGCAATTAACAGCTTGTTGTAAGTACAAGCTAGCTTTACTCTGACCCTTAATTCTGGTTTAATAAGATGCTTAGCTGATGTAATTAAATGGGATAGAAGGCAGGGGAGGATAATCTTAGATTAAATGACAAGTGAGAAGTCCCTGTTACTAACTAATTTAAAAGGGGTTTCCTCTTGGAAGTGTTAAGACAAAATTCTTAGTGGCATTTGCTATGTTCAGTAGTTTGAATTCTATAGTGTTTTTTTTCATTTTGAAATCTTTTTAGAAGAGTTGTACCCAGTAGTCTGTAAAGTTTATTTTAGCAATAGTGTTTCTTCATCTAGTTACCAGATGTAACTACAGTGCAGACCTAATCCAACTCATCTGTTTGCTTTCCTTGTACCGAAATTATAGTGGGTGGTGTGGTATGGTACAATATGGTATTGTGAGGTGAAAGATTTATGGGAAGTTGCTTGTATCCTGACAAGACTATTGCTTGAGATATAATATCATTTCTAGCCAGTACTGCTTGAGAACATAATTCCCATTGTCCCCAGCCAGCATGGCCAATACTTTTATTTATACCCTCACTAAACCACAACTCCAAAAAGTCCTTAGAAGAAATCATGCAAATTATACTTATATATTTATATAGAATGCATATTGGCTTGTACTCTTGAATGCCAGATGGCAGTTTTTGCTGTCGTTGATCTGCACTCAAGAATTAATACTGATGTGTTAAGGATGTAACAGATATTCATATGCATCAGAAAAGCATGTCTTGATATGTAATGTGACGAGAAATGGCATCTGCTGTGTGAGAATGAAATTACCCATATTCTTTCCATCAGCAGTGCTAAAAAAAAGTGTGTTTTGCACAAAATTCAAGGGATGTGCAATTTTTTAAAATGTGAAATTTCCATGGATAGTGTTGATTTGTGTTCTGATCTTATGTACCTCATTTCATTTGGTAATTCTACCCCTTAGGGTCTCTGGGATAAGCAGAAGCAAAGTGTGCTACTTATATACCACCTCTTTAAATCTTAAAGCACTCTCTGGGTGGTTTACAATTTAATTATGCAGGCTACACATTGCCTGCATAATTAAGGGTAGAGTGTGCAGTGAAGAAATGAGATTTCTAAATTGCCTTTTGCTTTTAGGCATACAGTTCCTACTGTTCTGTGGAAAGATGCTCATGGCAAGGATCAGCCGTGGTATGAAGATGTTTTGGGTTCAAACCACCCTGTCATCCTCTATTTACATGGAAATGCAGGGACCAGGTAAGACATACAGAAAAGTGAGTGAACTGCAGAAAAGATGGCCTCTTAGGTGATACAATGTTCGATCAGGTCAGACTTGGTCATACCTTAGGCAGGACCGAGACAGGTTTTGAGATATCTTTAAAACATAATCCATGAAAAAAAAGTAAATAAGGGCTTTTACTATATTTCCCCTGTTGGCTAAGTTACTGGATCATTTAAAATGCTTTTATTTCTAGGATTTTGATTATGTTGTTCATTAAATGGGATTCCGGAACAGTTAATTTTCATGAAAAAGACTTGTTTCCAGATATATGTCTTTTAGATTGCCCTTTAAGTCCTACTGAATTCAGTGTAACATATTTTCAAGACAGTAGCTAGAGGATAACAGCTATAAGTATGCCTTAAACTCTTCTATTAAAATCAGAGTTTAAGTATGCTAATTTGGCTGAATGATGCTAATCAAATTTCATGCTTTTAAAAAAGACCCAGGGTATTTCCATATTGAGAGACTAGAGAAATTTTGTACCAAAACAATCATTCTTGGAAATTTAAACTAACATTCGCCGTCGTTTAGTCGTGTCTGACTCTTCGTGACCCCATGGACCAGAGCACACCAGGCCCTCCTATCTTCCACTGCCTCCCGGAGTTGTGTCAAATTCATGTTGGTTGCTTCGATGACACTGTCCAGCCATCTCATCCTCTGTTGTCCCCTTCTCCTCTTGCCATCACACTTTCCTAACATCAAGGTCTTTTCCAAGGAGTCTTCTCTTCTCATGAGATGGCCAAAGTACTGGAGCCTCAGCTTCAGGATCTGTCCTTCCAGTGAGCACTCAGGGTTGATTTCCTTTAGAAGTGATAGGTTTGTTCTCCTTGCAGTCCAGGGAACTCTCAAGAGCCTCCTCCAGCAGAAAAATTCAAAGGCATCGATTCTTCAGCGGTTTGCTTCCTTTATGGTCCAGCTCTCACTTCCATACCTCACGACAGGAAAAACCATAGCTTTGACTTTGCAGACTTTTGTTGGCAAGGTGATGTCTCTGCTTTTTAAGATGCTGTCAAGGTTTGTCATCGCTTTCCTCCCAAGAAGCAGGTGTCTTTTAAGTTCGTGGCTGCTGTCTCCATCTGCAGTGATCATGGAGCCCAAGAAAATAAAATCTGTCACTGACTCCATATCTTCCCCTTCAATTTCCCAGGAGGTGATGGGACCAGTGGCCATGATCTTAGTTTTTTTGATGTTGAGTTTCAGACCGTTTTTTGCACTCTCCTCTTTCACCCTCATTACAAGGTTCTTTAATTCCTTCTCACTTTCTGCCATCAGAGTGGTATCATCTGCATATCGGAGGTTGTTGATATTTCTTCCGGCAATCTTAATTCCGGCTTGGG